ATTAGCCAGATGTGGTGGTATACGCCTATAGTCCCAGCTACTCAGGAAGCTGAGGCAGAAGGATCACTTGAGCCCAGGAGTTTGAGGCTGCTGTGAGCTAGGCTCATATCAGGGCACTCTAGCCTGGGCAACAAAGCAAGACTGTCTCAAAAAAAAAAAAAATTGATTAGATGAACTTCATTAAAATTGAAAATTTCTGCTCTGTGAAAGACATTATCAGGAGCATGAGAAGACAAGCCACAAACTGGGAGGAAATACTTGCAAAAGAGATATCTAACAAAGGAATGTTATCCAAAATATACAAAGAACTCTCATAAGTCAACAATAAGAAAATGAACAACCCAATTAAAAAATAGGTCAAATACCAACTTCACTAAAGAAGATACACAGATGGCAAATAAACATTTGAAATGATGTTCTACATCACACTAGAGAAATATAAATTAAAACAACAAAATACCACTACACACTTATTAGAATGCCCAAAATCCAGAACACTGGCAACCCCAAATGCTCTCAATGATGTAGAGCAACAGGAACTCTGATTCATTGCTGGTGGGAATGCAAAATGGTACAGCCACTTTGGAAGACAACTGGCAGCTTCTTGCAAAACTAAAAGTACTCTTACCATACAATCCAGCACTCATACTCCTTAGTATTTCCAAAGGAGTTGAAAATTTATGTTCACACAAAAATCTGCACACAGATATTTATAGCAGCTTTATTCATAATTGTTGCTATGGACTGAATGTTTGTGTTCCTCAAAATTCATATGTTGAAATCTAATTCCCAATGTGATGGCATTTGTAGGTGGGCCTTTGGGAGGTAATTAGGTCATAAGGGTGGAGCAATTTAGAATGGGATTAGTGTCTTAACAAGGAGAGGACATAGAGCTAGCTCATCTTCTTTCTGGTATGTGAGGATACAAGAAGCTGGCTGTCTGCAACCTGGAAGAAGGCCCTCACCACAGCCTAACTATGCTGCCACCCTGATCTTGAACTTCCAGCCTCCAGAACTGTGAGAAGTAAATGTTTGCTGTTTAAGCCACCAAGTCTACAGTAATTTGTTATAGCAGTCTGACTAAGACAATTGCCAAAACATGGAAGCAACCAAGATGTCCCTCAATAGGTAAATAGATAAACAAACTGTGGTATATTCAGACAATGGAATTCAGAGCCAAAAAGAAATGAGCTATTGAGCCATGAAAAGACTCGAAGAAATGTAAATGCATATTGCTAAGTGAAAGAAGCCAATCTGAAAAGCCTGCATACTATATGATTCCAACTATATGACATTCTGGAAAAGGCAAAACTATAGCGACAGTAAAAAGATTAGTGGTTGTTGGGGGCTATAGAGAGGGAACAATAGGTAGAGCACAGGGGATTTTTAGAGCAGTGAAACTATTGTGTATGATACTGTAATGGTGGATATGTGACATTATGCCATAGAACTGTATGCCAAGAGTGAACAACCCTAAGGTAAACTATGGGCTTTGGATGATGATGATGTGTCAATGTAGGTTCATCAACTGTAAGAAATGTATCACTCTGGTGGCTGATACTGATAGTAGAGGAGGATGTGCATGTGTGGTGGCAGGTGGTGTATATGCCTTCTGCTCAAATTTTGCTGTGAACCTAGAATTACTCTAGAAAATAAAGTCTATGAAAAAATGTAAAAATTTTTTTAGGTTTTGCAAATAGTGGTAATGGTTGTACAACACTGTAAACGTAAGTCATGCCATTGAAATGTATACTTAAAATGGCAAATTTTGTTACCTGTATGTTACCACAATAAAAATGTTTGTTACAAAGGTCAAAAATCTTCTTTAGCTATCACTTCCCTGACACCTTCCACTAGCTACAGCTGTTTCTCTGTTTCCCTATATAGCAAAACTCTTCAAAAGACTTGTCTATCAGCAGATACTTTGTGGCCAAAAAAAAAAAAAGACTTGTCTATATTTGCTACCCCAATTCTTCTACTATTCTTGTTTTAAACCCCATAATATCTCAAGGCCCTATGCTCCTGTCACTCTGCCCAAATTGCTTTTGGCAGCTGCCAAATCTAATGGACAGACAGCTGTTACACTTCATCCTACTTGACTTATCACCAGCTTCTGACCCAGCTGACCACTCCTTCCTTCTGAAAACACTTTCTTCCCTTAGCTTTCAGGGTACTATCCTCTCCTGATTTTCCTACTGCCGTACTGGTCACTCCTTCTCAGTCACCTTTGCTGGTTCCTCCTCTTCTTCCTAACCTCTTAACACTGGAGTTTCCCCAGCCTCATCTTGTCCCTAACTTGATTCACTTCTTTGGTTATCTCCCCATTTCATGTTTTTAAATATCATCTAAATGCCAAAATTCTATTATAAATGTCTATCTCTAGCTCAGACCTCCTCACTGACCTCTAGACTTGTATATCTAGCTACCTACTCAGTAATTCTATTTGCTTGGCAACTGATGTGTCAGACCTAACCAAAGCTGATCTCCTCTCACCATTCCCCTAAAACCTGCTCCGCCTGCAATCTTCCCCATTTCAGCTAATAGCAGTTTCGTTGTTCCAGTGGCTCAGATCAAAATCCCTGGGATCACCTTTGATTTCTTTCTTTCTCTCACACTTCAAAATCACTGTGTTTCCATATATCCTGAATCTAACCACTTCCCGATATCTCCACTGCCCTCTCCCTGAACTGAACAACCCTCATCTCTTTCCTGGATTACTGCAGTAATCACCTGACTGGTCTCCCTGTATCTATTCTTATTCCCTACTATTTATTCTTAGCACAGAACCAAAAATGACCCTTTTAAGACAAAAGTTATATCAAGTCTTGCTCAAAACCCTACAGTGGCTCCCCATTTAATTGAGGCCTTTCAACAGCCTATGAAGCTCTTCATAGCCTGCACTCTCATGCCTACCACTCTGACCACACTGCCTGCTATTCTCCACTCTTGCTCAGCTCCAGCTTCACTCATCTCCTGTTTCTTCCTAATGCCAGAACCTTTTCACTAGCCGTTCCCCTGGTCATCTAACTCCCTTACCTCTTTCAAGTCTTTGTTCAAATATAATTTTTCCTTGACCACCCTGGCTAAAAGTATAACTCTCAGCTCTAGTGGAACTCTTAATTCTCCTCTTAACTTGCTATTTTTTTCCTTAGCATTTATCATCTTTTAATATATCATATAATCTAGTCCTTCATTGATTATGTTTTTTGTATTATATGTCTCCTCCACCCACCTCCAAACAATAAGCTCCACGAGGACAGAGATCTTTGTTTTATTTACTGATATGTACAAAGCACCTAGAACATTGCAGGCTCTCAAAAAATATTTGTTGAAAAGCAGCACTATTTCCCATTATGTGAAAATGGAATGCCTAGAAAATATGTATCAGATACTTGAAGGAATGGCTTCAGGATACAGAAAGACTTACAGGATGACTTACAGTGTGGTTCAAGATCCTATATTTGAGAATTGTTCTAGAACTCAGATGCCTCCTGATTGCCCTTCTCTCTTCAACCATCCCCTCATCCTTCTCAATTGTAACTGCCCATAAAGTCACTGAAGAGACTCAATCTAAAAGCACAGTGACCTTCCCAGCTCCTGCATCTCTCCAAACTCAGTTCCAGCCTCACTTCTAAGACCAACCTAGTGGCCTGGTATCCAGGTCAGCATCTCAGCCTTCCTGCTAGTCTGGCTTTAACTGAACCAACTTAAAATAACTGCACTCTTGGCTACTCATGAAGAATCAGTCTCATACCTCAGTTCTAATAATTAGGGTCCCTTGTTTTCTTGTGGTTTTCTTTTTTTTTCTTTTCTTTCTTCTTTCTTTTTTTTTTGAGAACATAGTCTTGCTCTGTTGCCTGGGCTAGAGTGCAGTGGCATCAGCCTAGCTCACAGCAACCTCCAACTCCTGGGCTCAAGCAATCCTTCTGCCTCAGCCTCCTGAGTAGCAGGGACTACAGGCATGTGCCACTATGTTTGGCTAATTTTTTCTATATATTTTTAGTTGTCCAGCTAATTTCTTTCTAATTTTAGTAGAGAAGGGGTCTCACTCTTCTCTTGCTCAGACTGCTCTTGAACTTCAGACCTTCAGTGATCCTTCCGCCTCGGCCTCCCAGAGTGCTAGCTAGGATTACAGGCGTGAGACACCATGCCCGGCCAGGGACCCTTGTTTTTCTCGGTATTGTATTTCCTGTCTTGGTATCTTGACCTATATTCTGGTTCCTCAGACTTAAACCCAGCACCTGTGCTCATTTAGTCTTTCTATCTCGAGTCCTGTCCTAGGCCCAGTCCCAGCTTCTGAGCCTCAGACCTACCTCTCAGGACCTAGTCCTCTACCTTTTGCTTTGTTCCAGACCTCCTGGCTCCTGAGCTCTGCCCACCAGTCCTCCCTAAACCTCCTTAACTCCAACTGTCTGTTTACCTGAACCTGTGCCCACAGACACCTTGACTCCTCTAACTCATCCTCCCCATTACTCCTTCACCTGAATGTCCTGATTACTTCTTCTCATTAATTCTGAGAACTTTCTGAAGAACCAGCCAAGCCCTGGTCTATTTAGCCTTCCTTTTTAAGATCTAATAAGGCCTATCCCAACCTTGGTCCAGGCTTAAGCCTGAAAATAATGGACATGAACTTCTAGGTCCTCAAAGGACATAATCAATCTTTCTAACAGTGTCAGAATATTCTTGGTTAAGATAGCTGAAGTTAGCTGCCAAAAATAATCAATGTAAAACACTTATTTGAGTTTTCTTCAGTAGACATATCTGTTTTACTTAGAGCCTTCCATTTGGATGATATCAGATACACTTTGCATTCTGGTGCCTTGAAAAAGAAATCATTTAGTTTTCTTAGGAAATTGGAGAAAAACAGAGGATGTGTTGGGCCCACATAAAAAGAAAATGATGGTTACTAGCATCAGCCCAGGACTAGAAGTTATTCAATCCAATAATCTAATGTTCACCTTTACTAGCCCTAGTACATCTCATAGGATTAAACTACATACCTAGAAGCATCAAGGAATGGTCTGTAGGCCAAGCTGATCCATTCTTCTCTATTGGATGAATAGTTTGGCTCCAAGGGTGTTTCTCTCATGGTATCCAAATCCACTAAATAATGGCATTTACTGATGTTGATCTGAAATGGAGAAATCCAACTCTTCATTAGTAATTGTGAAGGTCCTTCAGGGTAGGGAACATCAATTGCAATCTTAAGAATTCCCACAGGGTTTTAGAGAAACCAATATCTAAGTCCTTTGACATGTTGCCTGTGCTCTTTCCACTCAGATAAGAGTGTGAGAGTGTTATCTATGCTACTGGGGCAGCGGGGTTTACACTCATTCGGCCAAACATATCCGTAAGCTTTGGGTGGTCTGACTCTAGTTTGAGTCCCTAAGTCTTTCTTAAGAGTTAAGACACTTCAGAAGCCTCCATGAGTCCACAGGCTACCTCTGGAAAACCTATCTTCTGCTCACTATTACTCCCCTCCAGCATATTGCCTCTTTTTCCAGAATCTGAAAGGGCATGACAAACACAGACGCTAATGTGTGAGGATGCCCCGGACTCTCTAGACAAAGCCACAGGAGGCTACACTATTCCCCACAGGTGGTACAGAAATATCATGCATATCATCTCTTTCAAAAATTCAACAGAATTGACAGAGACTCCCTGCAGCAAAAGTTCAGTAAAAATGAGATACCAGAACTGCAGGAATGAAGAAGATTACAAAAGATATATAGTATTAACAAAACTAGAGTCATCCAGTTGCTCATAACATGGATACACCAGAACATTACAGGTGCTCATAGGAGACTATTAATACATTCCATTCAAAACCACGTTGGTTTTCTGGAGAGTAGGTTAAGAAATAAACAAATAAATAAATAAAACCATATTAGTACTGTGCTTCTCACAAAATTGATTAATTCAGTGGAACATGATACACAATCTGTAGGATCCTTCTGCAGTTAAAAAGCTCATTTTAAACTACAGTCACACTTTCCCTCTCATCTCAAGTCATCAGAATATTTTGCAGCCATAGGGAAAATTTCTAAGCCTTTTAAATTTTTTTTTTTTTTTTTGAGACAAGAATCTTGCTCTGTTGCCCAGGCTAGATGCTGTGGCGTCACCCTAGCTGACAGCAACCTCAAATTCCTGGGCTCAAGCGATCCTCCTGCCTCGCCTCCCAAGTAGTTAGGACTACAGGCATGCGCCACCATGCCCGGGTGGCATGTTTTTAGTAGAAACAGAGTCTCGCTCTTGCTCAGGCTGGTCTTGAACTTCTGAATTTAAGCAATCCTCCCACCTCAGCTTCCCAAAGTGCTAGGATTACATGCTCAAGAGATCATGCCTGGCCAGCCTTTTTAATTTTCAATAGTTTTAGGCTGGGAGCTGTGGCTCACATCTATAATCCTAGCACTTTGGGAGGCTGGGGTGGGAAGACCAGTTGAGGGCAGGAATTCAAGACTAACATGGGCAATAGGAAGACCCCATCTCTACAAAACATGAAAAAAATTAGCTGGATCTGGAGACAGGTGCCTGTAGTCCTAGCTACTCAGGAGGCTGAGGCAGGAGGATCACTTGTGCCCAGAAGTTTGAGGTTACAGTGAGCTAGGATCATGCCACTGCACATTAGCCTTGGGCAATAGAGCAAGATGCTGTCTCAAAAATAAAAAATGTTTAACTTCTTTAAAATATATGAAAAAAAGACACAAGTTTCTATGAAGTTACATAAAACCCAGAGATGAAAAACAGATCATTAATATTTATTTTTCAGTTAAAGAAAAATAAATCTCAAGAGAAAGAAATTTTCAATGCTTTTTACATGCCAACTATGTTATACATATTATTTTAAAAATCATCATAACAAAGCCTATAAGGAATTATTACCCCTATTTTATAAATGAGGAAGTCAAGACTCAGATAAATTAAATAACTTCATTTTTTTCAATATACACATATTAAGCCTCTATAATGTACTATGCATTAAGTTAGAGTTAAGGATACAGAATGAAACAAATAAGACATAGTTTCTACCCTAAAAGGATTTACAGCCCTGACCAAAATCACATGAGTATATAGCAGAGCTATATTTGGAAACAGGTCAATGTGACTTCAAAAGTTATACCTCAAGATTGCCAAAAATGACTGAATAAGAGGCAAAGTACTCTTAGGAGGCTCATCTAATTGTTTCTTAAAAATTAAAACAAAAGAGTTCTCTTAGATTATCAGGCTTCAGCTACACAAAGTCATTTGAAACATGTGTAGATCTATAGCAAATCTCGCATTTAATGGTAAAGTAATTAAAAGCTTTTCCTTTTGGATCAGGAATAAGTCAAGGCTACTTGCTATCACTACTTTGTTCAACATTACAAGAGATTCAACAGTACTAGCGGTTCTAGTCAGCAGGGTAAGATAAAATAAAGAAAAAGATGGAAGAAGAAATGGAGAGAAACAAAATTCATTCATTGTAATGATATGACTGGTATATATAAAGTCCAAAAGAATCTGTAGATACATTTTTAGAATTTTTAAGAGATTTTATGAAACTTTAGACTTATAGGATACATTAAAATCATTGTCTTTTTTTTTTTTTTTTTTGAGACAGAGTCTCACTTTGTTGCCCAGGCTAGAGTGGGTGCCGTGGCGTCAGCCTCGCTCACAGCAACCTCAAACTCCTGGGCTCAAGCAATCCTCCTGCCTCAGCCTCTCGAGTAGCTAGGACTACAGGCATGCACCACCATGCCCGGCTAATTTTTTCTATATATTTTTAGTTGGCCAATTAATTTCTTTCTATTTATAGTAGAGACGGGGTCTCGCTCTTGCTCAGGTTGGTTTTGAACTCCTGAGCTCAAACGATCCGCCCACCTCGGCCTCCCAGAAAGCTAGGATTACAGGCGTGAGCCACCACACCTGGCCATCATATAGTCTTATTTAACAGCAGTAAACAAAATGAAATTTTATAAAAATATAATTTACAAGCTTTGAAAACATTTACCTTGGAATAAATATAATGAAAAATAAAAGAGTACCCTATAAAAATTATAGAATTTTATTAACAAATGTCCATCAACTGATACATTTATAATATCCATATAATTATATCCATATAATATCCATATAATTAAAATGTGGTATAGTCATACAATAGAATAGCATTTGGCCAAAAAAGGAATAAAGTTCTGATACATGTTACGCCATAGATGAACCTTAAAAACATTGGTGTAACTGAAAGAAGCGAGACACCAAAGGCCATATATTATAGGATTCCATTTATATGAAATGTTCAGAATAGGCAAATCCTCCAGAACAGAAAGCAGAGGTTGCTAGGGACTTGGGGGGTGACTGCTTAATGGGTATGGGGCTTTTTTTTAGGCGGGGGAGAATAAAAACGTTCTAAAATTAGATATTGGTGAGAATTACACATTTTGAAAGTTCTAAAAGCCACTGAACTATAAACTTTAAAACGGTTTAATTGGCAAATTTTGTTATGTATATTTTGCCTCAATAACAAAAATCACTGAAATGGTGAATTTTATCTCAAAACATTTTTTGAAAGACAATAAAGTAGACCTTATTAATGGAGTGATATACCTTATTCCTAGATGAAAAACTTACAATAGTAAGGATGTCAATTCTAAATGAATTGATTGATAGATTAAATATAATCCCAATCAAAATCCCAACAAATTTATGAAACTTGACAAGCTGATTCTAAAATATACATGGAAATACAGGATAAGAATAGCCGAGGAACTCTTAAAAAAAGAACAAAAAGAACCATGAAGCTATAGTAATTAAGACAGTGAAGTACTAGTATGAGACTAGATCAACAGACCAATGAAATAGAACAGAGAGCCTAGAACAAATGCAGGCACATATAGACCCTGAGTTATAACAGAACACTACAAAGCAGCAGATGGTCTTTCCCCTAACTGATCCTAGGACAACTGGATATCCATTAGGTGGAAAAATAAAATTGGACCTCAACTTTACTCCACATGCAAAAATCAACTTCAGATGGATTATAGACCTAAAAGTGAAAAGCAAAACAATAATGCTCTAGAAGATAATATAGAAGATTATCTTCAAGATCTTAGGGTAAAAGATTTTTTAGACAACATACAAAAAACATCAACTATAAAAAGAAATGATGGATACATTTGACTACATTAAAACTTAGAATACCTGTTCATCCAAAGACACCTTTTTCTGAGAGAGGGTCTCACTCTGTTGCCTGGGCTTGAGTGCAGTGGTGAACCCCTGAGCTCACATTATCATCCTGCCTCAGTCTCCCAAGTAGGTGGACTATAGGCATGTGCCACCACCCTGACTAATTTCTAAATTTTTTTTGTAGAGATGGGGTCTCACTATATTGCTCAGGCTGAACTCTTGGGCTCAAATGATCCTCCTGCCTCGGCCTATCAAAGTGCTGGGATTACAGGCGTAAGCCACTGCGCTCAGCCAGAAAAACACCATTTAAGAGAGTGAAAAGCTGAGCTGTAGAATGGGAGAAGACACATTTACCCATGAAGGATTCAGATCTAGAATATATCTAGAACTCCTGCTAACAGAGACAAAAATAAACCACCCAATAGAAGAATGGGCAAATGACTTAGAATAGGTACTTCACAAGAAGAAATCAATGGCTCAAACAAATGAAAAAGTGCTTAAAACCTCATTAGTAACCAGGAAATGCAAATTAAAACCACAATGAGAAATTACAATATCAAGCATTGACCAGAACGTAGAACAATTATACATTGTTTTCAGGAGATTAAGTTGGTACAAGATCTTCAGAAAACTATTTGGCATGATCTATTATAATTGAACATATTTATATCCTATGATGCAACAATTCTACTCCTAGGGATTAGATTGAGCCATATAAAATCACTAATATTTGATGTTTGACCCACACAAATGGTAATCTCATATGGTTCAACTAATGTATATCCAACAGAAATACCTGCCCCCAAAGATAAGTTCAAGAATGTACAAAGTGGTATTATTTGTAGTTGGCCCAGACTAGAAACAACCAAAAACATCCATCAACAGTGAAATAATAAATAAATGTGGTAAAGTCATACAATAAAATGCTATACACTAATAAGAAAAATAAAGTATAGCTACATGCAA